CGTCTGTCCTCTTCCTCCACCTTGCACCTAGAGGCAGCTTTCTAAGGCAACTATCTGGTCATGGAACTCCTCAAAAACTCTGCACAGGCTCCCTAGTGCCCTTGGGATCAAGGCCAAGTTCCTCAGCATGGGGTGTCTCGTGGCGCAGTCCTGACTGACCACGCCATCCTTTGCTCCAGGTGGGGCACTCACTAGTCCTTCCCTCCTCCTTGACTTTGTACAGTCTCTCTCTCCTTCCAGGCGGACTTCCTCCTCCTCCTTCCTTTTCTCGGCCCATCCCAAATCCTGGCTCACCCTTCCTAAGCCAGTTCTGTACACACCCCACCCAACTCCTGCCCACAGGGGGCAGATTAGGTGGGGGGGTCACTGGATTCTGGGCAGAGCAACGTTTGGCAACCTTGCTGCTCCCTGACTTGCCTGCCTCACCCATCTATCCCTGCTCAGGTCATCTCACTTCTTCCACTGGATCCTGCTTTCCTCAGAGACAGGTCAAAGTCCTATTTGCCTCAGCCCTAGGCCCCAACCTCAATGGCACAGGTGGAAAGAGGCAGATGAGCATGGGAAATGAGATGGTGCGCATCAGAGCTCAGCCCAGTGGGGCAAGTCCTCAGTAAGAGGCTGTAGGTGCAAGCAGAGAAACGGGTGGCTGTGGAGGGCTCTCTCTGGCCTGTCCTGGGAGCATGTCCCAGCCCCAAGCAGGCTGAGGCTCGAGTGTGAAACAGCCCTCAGCTCTCGAGGAAAGCCTCTAATTGGTGAATAGGGATTTCATGAAGGGCTGGCTTGAACACCCCTGGGCGACTCCCTCTGGCCGAGGGCCAGCATGGGCCCACATCTGGGTCTGGGCAACAGGAGCCAGGCGCAGGGGGAAGGGGAAGTAGGGAGCTCACAGAGCCATCTCACGTGCTCCTCCCCCTCCTCAGCCAGGAAGCTGCCACCTGCAGTTTGACGACAACTGCTGGAGGAGCGGTGTCCTTGGGAAGGGCCCTCTCTGCATTCCCACACTAAGCTTGGGCCCCATCACACAATGGGTGACAAAGCCTTTGCCCAGAATGGAAGGAAAGGCCATCCCAGCCTCTGGTGGTTCTAAGGTGGAGCAGCTTCTCCAACACCCCAGGAAAGTGGCTTTAGGGTCCAGCCTCAGGTCCCAGGACTGCTCAGAGCTGCCCTATGAGGGAAGGAGTGGCCCGGGTGCGGGGCAGTGACCTCTCCGCTCCTGTTGGGCAGGTGGACGAGATGGTGGGACAGATGGCAAGCTCAGGGAAGGGCAGCCACATGCCACTCAGTCCCTCAGCCCCAAATCTAGTGCCCCTCCTCCTTCCCTGTCCCGTGGGTGGGGGTGTGCTGGACTGGTCCAGGAAGGACGCGCAGAGAAGAGGGAAGGTAGCCTGGAACTCGGCTGCACTGGACACATTGAAGTGCCTTCTGCCTAAGGCTGAGATCATCTCCAGGGATGTGAATCAGGGAGCACAGGGTCCTAGAGCCAGCAAAATCCCGTCCCTCATTGTACAGATGGGGAAACTGAGGTCAGGGAGGGCACATCTTGAGCAAAGGGCAGGGCCTAGGACTAGAGACTCCTGGCCACTGCCCCATTGGACCACTTCTCCCTTCTCTCCCTCTTCCTCACTCACCTCCTCCAGCTGGGACAGACGCCCAGGAGAGAAGGCTGGAGCTTGTGACTCCGGGATGGGACCCCAGGAACACGGAACTTCAGCAGGGATGGGCCAAGGCAGAAGGGGCTCCACGGATTCATACTCGAGGGAAGGCTTCACAGTCCTCAGGGCCTTGGTGTCAGCTCCCTCACCAC